GCTGCCCAGGGCAGTGGTGGAGTCCCCATCTGTGTGAGCTGACACAGGCAGGACGCAAAACAACCACAAAAACAATGGATAACATGCAAAAAGCAAATTTATTCTTGTTACCTCACGAACTGGGGGATCTCCAAAGCAGCACCCGGGGCAGAGGCACGTAAGTGCACCACGGAGCTGGGTCCTTTCTGGAGTGAGAGCAAGAGATTCCGAACCTGCTGCTTTCACCTGTATAGATCAGGGATTTTTAGCAGGCAGTAGTTTTCCTCTGTGCTTTGATCTTTCTCACAGCAGGGCAGGAATCTCAAGCATGTTCAGGGTCCCCCTGAGTCTATCCCAGGCCTATGTTATCTAAATGCAGATGTTCTACTTGTCAAGCACATGAGAGTAAACAGTGATTAGCAGTGTGATGTGTGTGTTTTTCGACACCCCAGCTGCAAGTCCCTTGAGCATGTTTACAGTCCCCCTCACCAATCTTCCCTTATATTCCCACACCATCCCTGGAGGTATTTAAGAGTCACGTAGACATAGTGCTGAGGGACATGGTGAAGTCGGGGACTTGTCAGTGTGAGGTTAATGACTGGACTCATATGGTCTTAAAGGTCTTTTCCAAGCTAGGCAATTCTGTGATTCTGTGATTCTGTGACTTAGGATCGTTCTAAGGAAGATGATGGCCTTGAATCCTTACTGGACAACATTGTTGGAGTGAGGCAGATGTTGGAATCTGCAGGTGATTCTTGTCCACTGAGTGACCAGGATGTAGAGCCTATTCTTTCTGCACCAGACTCTCTTCAGAATTTGTTTAACAACAGGTAAAATGGCTGTGTGTGTGAGAACACTACCTTTGATTTACCTAAGAAAATGCAGTAATTTATGTGTGAGTGTATTACGGACAGGAGCTAAGGAGCACTGTTGTCACTGCTGCCTACAAGCCCAGGGTATTTAATTTCATGGAAATATCAAGGGTAAGGCAGTAACTTACAGCTCAGCGTTCTGTGATGCTCTGTATGCTTGCAGTTGGTTCTAGTTCATAACCAGATCAGCATTTGGCATTGTTTTGTTGCAGGACTACGTACGTGTTGGCAGACGTGATGGATGACCAGCTGAAGTCCCTGTGGTTCTCACCCTTTCAGGCTGAAGAAATAGACACTGATCTGGATATGGTAAAAGGCTTCATTAACATGACTGAAGTGGATTTAAAACGAGGGTTAACCTGAGCTAGTAGCATCGGAAGTTCATATGGTCAAATGGTTTGTTTTCCTGAGCTCACCCTTGTAAGCTGACCCAGGTAGAGGCGTTGGCCTTCGTTAAAGGCTGTTACAAATCCCTTCAGCTGCACTTGGAAGCAGACACAAAAGTGGCACCTTCTGCAGTGCTCTAATGCAGAAGTCATCTTGAGAGGAACAGTTGTTTTGTCAGCCCTAACCTGCTCTTGCATTGCTGCTGGGGCTTTTCAGCAGTTTGTGTTAAATGTGGACAAAGAATGGGATATATTTTCTTTTCCTTGCTTGTCTTCTGACATTGCAGTGATATCCAAAGAGCCTGATAGCTACACTTTAAAAAAAAAAAAATCTTTGTTCTGATGTGACAGAAGTGGAAAAAAATGGCTGTAATAAATGAAACTATTTGCACAAAAGCTTTTCACAGTATTTGAAACTTGATTTTTAGAATCTAAACTTTAAATGTCATTTTGAAAAAAATACAGTAATTTTTTTTTAAACTAAGCAATTGACAGTGTCTAACTTCTTACATGAGAAATAATCAGTTTCTGTTGACTTCATTCTTATTTAGTTTTACTCTTTTTTTAATTTACATGCAAAGATACTTGTGTTTTCATTTCTTAAGCAAAACCAAAACTGATGATTCATGTATAAAAGCAGCATTAATAAATGTATAGGACTGTAGCTTAAGGAAGAGAGTGCCTCGCTGCAGGTCATTTAGTGACAAGGCACGTGTTTGTACTTGAAATACTTGACTTTGCCGAGATTCAGAACAATCGAGACAATTTTGCTGCAGCTCTGCTGCCTTTTTGTTTTGTTACTGCTGTTTTTAATTTTGAGCCACACTACTGCATTAAAAGATAGAGGATGGAGCTTTTTTGATCCAGTAGAAGAACGTTAGCTGTATCTCATCCATCCTGGTGCAGCATGTTTTCTTCTTCTTCAGAGGTGCTAGTAATGATTGTTATGATAAAACTAAACTCTATTATTGCAGGTAAAAGTTGACTTAATTGAACTGTCAGAGAAGGGCTGCAGTGACTTTGACTTGCAAGCTGAATTGGAGAGGTCGTTTTTGTCAGAACCGTCATCTCCTGGCCGCACAAAAACCACAAAAGGATTCAAACTTGGCAAGCACAAGCATGAGACCTTCATAACTTCAAGGTAAGATGAGTTTAATGAGTAAACAGTGCATTCAGCACTGATTTTATGTTCTTAAAATGTCAAATACCTTTCAAATTGCATCTCCAGTATGGAGAATGCCTGACCTTGAGTATGAATAGATTTTTACATTAACTAAATAAATCGTGGTTTGTCACGACAGTGGAAAATCTGAGTACATAGAGCCTGCAAAGAGAGCTCACGTTGTGCCGCCACCAAGAGGAAGAGGAAGGGGAGGATTTGGACAAGGAATTCGACCACATGATATCTTCCGTCAGAGGAAACAGAATACAAGCAGGCCGCCCTCCATGCATGTGGATGATTTTGTTGCTGCGGAGAGCAAAGAAGTGGTTGCTCCAGATGGGATACCACCAGCCAAACGGCCACCGAAAGTGTCACAGAAGATTTCTTCACGTGGTGGGTTCTCAGGGAATCGTGGAGGACGAGGAGCTTTTCACAGTCAGAACAGGTTCTTTACACCACCTGCTTCAAAAGGTATGTTGTCTCCTGGATGAGAATTGGAGTAAAGGAATGCTAAAAATGCTTCAGTAATACTAACCCAGTTTATTAGCAGTTAATCATCCCTGGTGTGAGAAGTTCCTGAAGCAGTGTTGTTGAAGTAAGTTGTTCAGCACTAGAAAAGGTTCTCTCAAGTGCTGTGGACTTGAAATGAGGCTGTGAGTTCCTGTGTTGCCTCTCTCTCCCTCTCTCGTACAAAAGGAGGTAGCTGTTTTCTTTTAGCAACTGTTGTAGTGCTTCAGAGGTGCAGTCAGAAAAATAAAATGCCTTCTCTGCCATTTGTGACATGGTAGTTCCTGAAATCAAGCATCACAATATGTCTCTGGACTTAAATGAGGCTTTTGAATAAAAGGATGAAAGATCCTGACAAGAATAAGATGCAATTTTCAGTGAACCTGTTGATTCTAGCTACAGAGTGTTAAGTTTCTTTCATAGATAGATGAGACTACATTTATTTTCCCTTCCATCCCGTAATTGGGACAAGTCCTTGCACAGCAGAAACGGAAAATAACTTCCATTTAGTAAAGTTTTAAATACTTTATAACTTTGGATTTACTTTGCTACAAAACCTTAAAGTATAGGAGCCTATCTTAATACATTCAATAATGTGAATTCTTTTAAACTTGAGTTCATGTAGGAAAAATAGATTCTTTTCCACTGATTCTGTGTGTAATACAGTAACTCGTAGACTTTTGAGCTAGAACACTGAGGCTATGTTGATGCAGAGTAGCTTTATCTCTTTGAACTGTGTAAATATTGTTTGCCACCCTGAGCTTTGTGAAGATTGAAATGAAAAAAAAACAAACAGAAGTGATCTTTGCTTAACCGTGTGTGGGTTTTTCTTTCTCTATCTAGGAAATTACAGTCGTCGTGAAGGCGCTCGAGGCTCAAGTTGGAGTGCACAGAGTACACCCAGGGGAACCTACAATGACAGTAGAGGTGGCCAAAGCAATTTTAACAGGGGTCCACTGCCACCACTGAGACCATTAAGTTCCGCAGGTACATGGTATTCATATGGGCATCGAACTATAGAAAATTCCTTGAATTTCATTTTCGCTTTACAAATGAAACCATGCAAGGATGCTGCAGACACCTTGAAATTCAGCAAATGTTTTAAACATATATGAACAGTTGTCACTGAGACTGTGTCAGATACATGCTTTCATACGAACTGCCCTGTAATCCATAGACCTTGCTGAATTGAACGCTTGATCGCAGAATCTTAATTTCGCATTCAGGTTTTTGCAAGTCAGTTGTCTTCGTACCTACATGGTAACTATAGAGCCAATCAAAGCCAAAAATGCTTGCATAAAAGAAAAGTGAAAATTAAGAGGAGAAAACAGACCTGGTTTGTGTCTCATCCTGTTTTTGTTTCTTATGCTTTCACAGCAGCTGCTGCGCCTAGGGCTTTTTTTTTTTTCCTTTTTTTTTCCAACTGAGTATACTTTTCTTTGCTTTAAGGCTACCGGCTGAGTCCTCGCGATCGTGCTTCCAGAGGCCGGGGAGGAATTGGACCATCTTGGACAAGTGCTAATAGTAGTAGCAGTGGTGGCTCAAGAGGAAAGTTTGTTAGTGGAGGCAGTGGAAGAGGTCGTCATGTACGTTCCTTCACACGATAAAATGAGACCTAATGGAACGTCCCAACCATGTGAACTTCTGTGAAGATGACAAAGAAAGCAGTGGCACTAAAGGACCAATTCAGAGTTACTGGTATCTGGAGGACACCAAGAGAATATTTTTGTCTGAAGAGAAGATTTTGTTTGATACAAGACTTGAAATTTCAATAAAATTCAAGACTTTTTGTGTACAATTGTAAATTTTTTTGTTCCTTTTGAAATAATGTTTTAATTTTTTTGTGGACTTCAGTAGACAATACTCAGTAAAGAACCTCTTTGAGTTAAGACTTGAAGGACTTTTAAAATATTTTTTGTGCCAAAAGAAAGGTACAGATGGTTTGTGTGTGACTTATTACTGCAAGAAAATTAAAAATATATATATGTGTAAGGCAATTTTAGTTTTTTCTCTTGGGTTTAGAGCCATTAGCCTTTTTTTTTGTTTCCCTCTTTTTTAGCCAGTCTGAGTTATTATGAATGAGGTCCATCTGACAGCAGTTGAAGTAGCAGGTGCTAGAAGTCTGAAATGAATTGATCTGTGAACGAATACAAATGTAAACATAATTTATGTAGTTTTGTTGTACATCTTTGGTAATGTGGGTAGACACTTCAGTAAGATCCCACACCTGTTAAAATGAGTGGAAAATCTGTCATTGACTTCAGGGAGAATAAGATAACATGCTAACATTTACTTTGTAACTCCAGCTCATGCTTTTAGGAGCACAAGAGTGAATTCATTTTAAAACATGGGTATGCTTTGAAGTTAAAAGGCAAGATACCGATACCCTGAGAGAGCCTAGAGTTAATTAGTTGCCAGCCTCTCTTGCTGACCTTACCTAGTTGGGGAGAGGGCACAGAGGCAGATGTATAAACTGACAACCACGTCGTGAGGCAGTAACGCTATAAACCTTCCCTTTGACTAGATGGTTTGTATTTTTTGTATCTTTATTTAGACTGAGATACCGTGCAAACAGAAACACTTTGCGAAGTAGGAATTCATAAAGAAATGTTACCACTAGATTAAAATATAAATTTATTTTCATATTAAATTCATTGACTGAAGTAAGCTTTATACATGTTTGCATTCCTTTGGGCTTCATGGGATTTCATAGAATTAACCAATTCCTAATAGCCTTTTATTGCATTTTTGGATGGGGTGAGGAGTGGTAGCTTTTTCTAAAGGCCATATCCAGTTTTTACACATGAGCTCCACTGTCAGAGCTGAGCTGATTTTTCACTTCTGCTTTGGTCTCTTGACATTACAGAAGTGCTATAGAGGGGTCTTTGCCTGCTTAAATAAGGCCCAGTTGTAGTGTTCTTGTTTTACGTAACCTTAGCTAACTTTGGACACCTCGTCTGCCTAGATGCATGAACTTTAAAGTGTTTCTAAAGTATGACAACACTTTAAATTGAATTTTTTCTTAGCTTTATACTGCCTGGCTAAATTAAGTAGGTTTTAATTTGAACCACAGAAGGCCCATATTACGTGTACTTTGTCTGTGTGGAGACTCTGGGACAGCGTCCCACTGCTTTGAGAGGTGATTAGTTTGTACAGAGTCAGCTGACATAACCTGTGAAAGTGGTAGATGTCTTTTAATTGATGGGGGCAGTTGAAGGGAAGAGTACCGCTTCACAAAGGGATGTGTTTTGACATTGTTCTAAATAACATGAACAAAAACTTGGATTGGAAGCCAAACAACTTCCTGAATGGTAAAATAACGGGAAGATGGAGTTTTGCTAATAATGCAATTGTAATGACTAAAATGGGTGGAGCTCTCACTGGCATTGCAGGTATTAATGCTATTTTTTTAAGGAGTACTGCATAAATATTTTTAAAACTTACTAGCTCCTAGCTCCTTTAGATCACGTGTTCAAGGTTGTTTTATTTTTTTAGAAACTTTACTGTGTTGGAAACTAGCAGGGATATGAATCATTTGCTTTCTGTCAGGGAATTTGAAATGAAAAGTAGTGTCAAGCATGGAATAAATATGTAAATATACAATACTGGTTCTTGAAAGTTTAAAATATATGGCATGTCACACTAGTAATTTTCAAACTAGGAGGAAATAAAGGGTTGGTTAAATTGTTGTGTGCAAGCTCTGTAAATTTAGTTCAACTTGAAAAAGAAGTGAATGTCTATCATGCTTTGTGGGGTTTTTTTTGTTCGTTGTTTGTTTTTAAATTTAGTTCTGTGACCCTTCAATGCAAAGTAGTTCCTTTCTTGGATAAATTCAACTTGAAATAACGCTGTTTAAAACTGGGAGTTACTTGGTTTGTTCTTTTAAATTTGAGTAAATGACACTTTAAGCATTAAATTTTGCTTTTTATACTCTGCTCAAAAAGAAACTTTCAAGTTTTGTTTCCCGGGTGGAGCACCAGAACACAGAAGTGTCTGATGCCACTGTCAAAATACCTCTTGGTGAGTCATACGCTTATGGGCTGAGGAGAACACTTGTGATGAGCGAGGCAGGCCGGACAGAGCGAGTGCGCTGCGGTTCCTCCTCCCGCCGTCCTGGGGCTGAGCGCACAGACCCTCCGTGTGCACCGGCACGCCGTCAGGAAAGAAGCTGAGCTTGGCAGAGGCAGCTCTGGCTGATGCCACTGTCAAAATACCTCTTGGTGAGTCATACGCTTATGGGCTGAGGAGAACACTTGTGATGAGCGAGGCAGGCCGGACAGAGCGAGTGCGCTGCGGTTCCTCCTCCCGCCGTCCTGGGGCTGAGCGCACAGACCCTCCGTGTGCACCGGCACGCCGTCAGGAAAGAAGCTGAGCTTGGCAGAGGCAGCTCTGGCTGAACGGCCTTGGTCTGGCTGTTGTTCTCCTTAGCAGACAGGCACGTGCAGTGTGGGAATGAGATAAGGGTCAGGCAACTCATGTGCACGTTCTTAACTTCCACAATCTTTAGCAGTGATGCAGTCCTTATTATTCTGCACTGGCCAAAGGCCAGGTGCAGACAGAGCCACGAGCAGACGCACCGGTTATCTGTGGGCTATTGCGCTGCTCTCTGTAGTTGCCTGTTTCCCCCCACTGAGTAACTCCTCCCATCAGGTAACACCAGTTAACGCAGAGCACTGCCTGCAGCACAGGTGTGCTCTGGGGTGCCCCGTGTCCAGGTTGTTCCTGTGTAAGCAGATTACAACTTCTGAAGTACAAAACTCCGAACAGCTCTTGTTTGCTGCTCTTACACGTTCGTATCCCCTGTGGGCTCCTGCAGTGGATATGGAACACCTGCATTAGGGATGAGATCCCTTTAGCTGATGGACAGGGAATTATTTTTTGTCCCTTCTTGCCAGTTTTATGATCCTGCTGTCTGTGCTGGACTGGACTGTCATCCTCTTGTAGGAGTTTTCAACTTATGCCAACTTTTCTGTCCCTCAAAACAGATGCTCACCTCACTGACAAACTCCCATCTGCCAGGCAGGAGAAAAATTCCTTGAGGAATGGGGATTGATGGAATGCCTGCCTTGTTTATTGCTAGGCAGTGCCTCTGTCAGGTGATATGTTGTGCAGTAAGTGTGTAGCCTTACCCGCTCCAGTCCACTACCCTTCCGTGTAGTTCATTCATGACGCCCTGCGCCTTGCAGCCAGCGTAACTGAAGTACAATTTCGTCTGACAAAAAGGATCCTTTGCAACAGAAAGAATGATCCAAACTGCATTAAGTATGGTAAAGACCCTTTATTAGTTCAACTTTTATACAAAGTGTACTTCAAAGTGATACAAATAATGTTACTCTTTCTTTTACAGACTAGAGATTAAGGTCTGTTAAGCACTGGTTTATGCTTCTTGTGTATATAAAGGTAGAAAATGTAACTAGATTGGCAGTGAACCATAATGCTGGAAGACAGTTCAGTGTTTGTTTGTTAATACAAAGTTGCATAGAATTGTAGGTCTTTATAAAGGCATCTGTCTATGTGGTACAATCATCTCCCTGACCTACCATACCTCATCCGAAAGGCAGGACGGGAGGAATTCCGGCAAGGCTGGTTCTGCTCCTTCTAAATACCACCCAGCGCTCCTAAGGAAAGGGGCTGTAGAAAAGCACCATGCCAGAAACATCCAAGAGGCCAGCACATGGAAAATTTAATTTGCAAGGCGACCCATTTCTGTATCTCTTAGGAACTGTTTGCCACCTGGGATCGTTAATAAACTACAGTGCTTAAAAACACCTAAGAGTATTTGCGATAAAACCACTTTTGGCCAGTCAAAATACTTCACCGCATTAGATATTATTTCGGTTGACTGTGTAATTCCATTCCCTTCTGTGCTGACAACTCTTGTACATATGTGCTGTTAAATTAGCTCACCTCATATGAGACTGTTAGAATCTAGTACTAGAATCATACTAGTTAAGAGTTGCTACCTTAATTAGAAAGCCCAGCAAAATTCTTCCTTGCCACTCCTGCACCTGACTCAGATGCATGGTTCTCAGCTCCACAACTTTTGTTGAATCTCATCTAAACCTACCAGAAGCTCTTCCCAAAATTACTGTTCCTGTTCCAAATCAGGTAATCCCAGAAGCAACGGTCCACGCTGGCCAAGAGCACCGACATTTTTTTGCTTTGAGAGGAGTGCAGAACGGGGAACGCACATTTAATGTTGAAGGAAACAGAGGAAACTATTTTATCTTGAATTTAACTTCTGAAGCGGAGAAGTCAGTTGAGGGAACTAGTTTAAAAGTATTTGTAATTGGCCTCTTGGGTCTTCAAAATCAATATGTAAATGTTTATTTTCTTTCAAAGACAAACCACTCGCATTAAAATATTAATTTCTCTAAATACATCCTTAGTGTTACTCTTTGTCACCCAATTTAATGCAGGATAAGGATTTGCTCAGCTCCTTGTAATCTCACACACATTACTTTACTTAACAGCCTGCTCTGTGTTTTGTTTGCCAGTCTCCCAGTTTTGGTACTATTACATTTCGTACCCACTTACTTGTGGCTAAAGACTTAATCTCCTTTTAATTCTAATGCTACATTAGTAGTAGCAGTTTCCACTGGTAAATTTAGCTGGTGCACAGCCTGGGGGAGCTGCATTGCTCTCCCTTTTCTAGCTGCAAAGTGATTGTAGAAGCAACTAAAAATACAACAACTGCTTGCATGATTGGTCCACCTGAGTAGCTGTTCAGTTTGCACTCAGCACAGTTCCACCTATGAGGAAATTGAATTGATTGAAGTGTGATTTAGCATGAGAATA